AATTTCCTGAATTGTTATCTTCCGTGTATACTTACTGGTGTGTTCCTTAATAGTGGTGGTAAATGCTAGCCTTGCTTTCCTCGCCCCCCTCCCTCCCTATCCAAAGCATACTTCTCAAATAGCTGGTTATCGCATCCACAAAATGAATGACTCTATGCACACAGATTGCAAAATGCCAGATTAGACACATCTACAAAGTGGTTAGAGAGTAAACAAACAAAGATCAGAAATAGCAAAGTCTGTAGAAACACCCTGTCTCTGTTTATATGAGTTGCAGCCCTGTCATTGTACAAAAGTAGGCAGTCATAAAGAAGCTGATTCCCCACCACCACTGGTAGCCATCAGCTGTGAGTCAGACAGGAGAAAAAAATAAGAGAGAGATAATTTCTTGGTTCCACATCCTTGCATCTTTGCAAAGACCACAGCTTTTCATCTGTAGGACCACTTTTAATGCAGGACTATTTGGTATGAAATAGAAATCTACAGCTCAAGTGTGGTCATACACTTTTACTGCCTGTGCTCTCTCTTTAGCAGGAATATCCACTCCTTATGGGGTGTGTTCCTTTGCCTTAGGAAGGTCATCCTTTCATAGCTCTGCAGATACTTCAGTAACACATACTGAGAATGCTGGCATCAGTCCAAGAGGCTGTTGATTGACAGCCATGATTTCTATAATCCTGCATTTCAAGTCTAGGAGTTCAACCATTTACAGTCAGCCTGTGGCAACCATGTCAGTAGGGTGGTGACCCCAGTCTTGGGTTTCAGTCCTCTATGACCTTTAGACAAAACTGGAAATGCCTTTCCCAAGGTGCTTAATCTGTTTTGGTAATATAGTTCAGCACCTTGGATAGCTCCTTCAAGATATGGACAAAATCCCAGAGCATAAATGCTCCTGAGGTTTCATTCCATAGCATGTGGTGACCCATGGAAGATACTGGAGAGGTTGCTTGGGCCAGGTGGGCCAGATATTGGCTTGAACATTTGTTGTTTGGCTATAAGAGGAACAGAGTATTTTCAGGATATGAATCTGGCCTGGTCCCTCCTCAGTTTCTTTTCCAGATCTCTGTTGATGATGCCTGGTATTCATCTTCATGTGTAGAAGTTGGAAAGAGTTCTGAACGTAAGACAGCCACACCAGCACAAACCATGTAAACAAGGAAGACCAGAGAGGCTTTATGATCCAAAAATGTTCTGAGGGTGTGCTCAAAAGAAAACATCATTTTATAGGCAGAGTAAACCGAATCAACAGTTGGAGTTTCATTCTTTTTTCTTTTCTTTTCTGCTCCCCCTTTTAAGTAAAAATGATTTTACGGGGTAAAGGGATGCATGACCAATAACAGAGTCAGAATAATAAGCTGGGATCAAATGGCTTCTACTGCATTCCACTTTCAAAAAGAATGTTTAATTTCTTTGTGATAGTATAACTCTTCCTGATCCATTCTTGGTCTTTTGAATTCCTGAAGGCACTTCTGCTGTTTATTTTTACTACACATATAGCCTGTCTTTGTGTTCTTAGCTTCTCTCTTGCAATCTTCTCCCTTCCTCCTGTTCTCCAGCAACAATGTTCCACCTCATTCTTCTCAATAGACTGCCTTATTGACCATTGTTGCTGGACTAGAGAAACCAAGAGTATAGTAGTAAGGGGCATGTCTTGGGAAAGTGACTTTGGAATATTTTGGCACTCACATTTTCTAGCCAGCATGGCCACTGTCTTTGCTGGCTGGAGAATTCTGATAGCTGTGTTTCAAAAGCATCACTTTTCCGAGCTCTAACATAGAGGGAAGGATTCTCAGTTTACCCTTAGGAAGAGGTGGGTGTGGTGGCTCTCAGGGTGATTTGGAGTGCAGCTCCCATAAATCCTCACCATTGACTGTGCTGACTAGGGCTGATGGGAGTTGTAAGCCAAAAATATCTGGAGGCCACAGTTGCCCACATTCAGATTTTTGAAAAACTGCAAATGAAATAAGACTGCTAAACATCACAATGGAAACCTGAGAATGCTTTTCTCCCCCATTATTTTAATTCCCTTCTTTGAAATGACTGTTTTATGCTCATCTTTCAAGGCTGATTTTCCAGGCATATCAGAAAAGAACATTAATCATCCCGATCTTACTGTGATAAAAGCCCCAGGAGACGCAGGTCTTTCCTTGTTTTACAGTGAGTTCATCATAAAAAAGGGGGGACAGGGAACCTCTTTCTTTTTAATCTGGACTCAAGAATGAGGTCTGCCGTCCTTTGATCTCTGAGACTGATGCATGGATAGAGTAGGCTAATTCTTCCTTGTGGTAATACAGTGGGGTCAGCAGGTCTGGTTAATTTGTTATGAACTTATTGTGAGATGGGCTTGGTTCTCCCACCCCATCTTTCAACCAGAACAGAGCTACAATATAGCTTGAAGTGCAGCTCTGTCGGTCAGGACAAAAGGTTTGTAAATTCACTCAGCATATATTAAGCCAATCCTTCTTCTCTGATGACAATGCTACCCTTTTGGTAAATGCAAGTGAATGGTAACCAAGTTGATCAAAGATAAAATTGTTCCCCACTGGGGCTGCTGCCACATTGCAGAATTAATGCAGTTTAACACCACTTTAATTGTCATGGCTCCATCCTATGGAATCCTGGGATTTGTAGTTTGTTATGACATCAGAACTGACAGAGAAGGCTAAATATCTCACAAAACTACAAATCCCAGAATTCTATAGTATTGTACTATGCCAATTAAAGCAGTGTCAAACTGCATGAATTCTGCAGTGTAGATGCAGCCGGTGTGTGTTTGTGTGTATGTATGTGCATGTGTAGGATGACCCAAGACCTCTGACATATCTGAGACAGAGCAGCCAATGGCAATCTCTCCCCTCCCTCACAACCTAAGACTAAATGCATAATACTTTGCCAGCCAAATTGTTTTGATACCTGAGGCAGAAATTCAGCAAAATGCTGTTTTGCTGGGGCATCACCTGCTTCAATTTAATTGTTTTTACCATATAATCAAAATTTTCATGCTGAAGCTTAAAAACCAACTTCACAATTATTAAAGATGGGTTACTGTTTGTCATTGTGAGAGGAAGAATCCATCAATAATATCCTTTAATTTTCCAGTTACAAATAAAACGCAAAAATTAAGGTCACCTCAGGAAAAAGTCATAATCACTCACAGCTTCTGTAATTAAAATTTATATTTGCACCAATTGCATACTAATGATTTAATCAGCAAAAGATTTAATTAATACATCTAATTTTTAAAGTTCCCTATGTTTTATAGATGTGCCTGTAACTCTTGGGTTGCATCTACAAAGTGCAGAATTAATGTAGTTTGATACTGCTTCAACTGCCATGACTCAGTGCTGCAGAATTCTGGGCTTTGTAGTTTTGTGAGATATTTGGCCTTCTCTGTAAGAAAGCTCTGGTGCCACAACAAACTACAAATCCCAGAATTCCATAGGATGGAGCCATGACAGTTGAAGTGGTGCCAAACTCCATTAATTCTACAGTGTCTCAGCAGCCTTGGATAGAATTTATAGGTACAGTTGTGAACTTATGGCAAAGGGTCCTCCAGTTTCATAGAAACACAGAGTTTACCAGTCCAGAAACATAACTCTTGAACAAGACTGGTTTCCCCTGCTTTTCCTCTGCTAGTAAAGTCAGTTACTGAAAACTCTTTGGGCCATATCTGGCCCTCCATAGTGTTGTAACTGATTTGCCCACCCTCCACAACTGCCAGTCTTAAGGCAAAAGAAGCATCTACATACACTAACAAAGCTTGCCTGCGGGCATACGTTCAGAAAAGCTGGCCTCCCATCTCTCACTCTCTTCTCAGTAGTGGATTCCTGGGGAAACTACTTGCTGAATGGAGCTCAGTTGGTTTAAAACTCTTTTGAATTATCCAAGTTTTATTTACAATTTGGAACAAAGATCCAGTTTGGAAGTGAACCCTGCAACTTTTGTTGTTAACTGTCTTTGAGTTGATCTCGACTCATGGCAGACCTATGGATGAGACATAGGTCTCCTAGACCCTCTGTCCTCTGCTGCTCTGCTTAATTCCTGAAACCCCTTAATACCTGTGACCTCCTTAATAGAGTCCATCCATCTAGCATGTGGCCTTCCTATTTTCCTACTTCCCTCCACCTTCCCCAGCATTATTGTTTTTTCCCCAGAGTCCTCTCTTCTCAAGATGTGTCCAAAGTATGACAGTGTCACTTTGGTCATCTTGGCTTCCAGGGAGTTTTCTGGCTTGATCTGCTCTAGGACCCACTTGTTTGTCCTTTTGGCTGTCCATGGGATCCTCAGCACTCTTCTCCAGCACCACATCTCAGATTAATTGATTTTCTTCCTATCATCTTTCTTAACTGTCCAGCTCTCACATCCATACATGTAATAGGGAATACAATGGCTTGTATGATTCTATCTTTTGTGCTGAATTGTGTATCTTTGCATTTTAGGATCTTTTCTAGGTCGTTCATAGCCACTCTCCCCATTCTTAATCTTCTTCTGATTTCTTGGCTGCAGTCCCTATTTCTATCAATGTTTGATCCCACATATGGGAATTCTTGTACTATTTCTATTTCTTCATTGTCTAGGTTGAACTTGTGAAGGTCCTCAGTGGTCATTGTTTTTGTTTTCTTTATGTTCAACATTAAGCTTGCCTTAGCATTTTCTTCTTTGATCTTCTTTAGTAGGTGTTCCAGGTCTGTAGCTGCAACTGAACCCTGCAACTAAGTAGTAAGAAAGCATTTGCAGGAGGCCTAATTTAATTTGAAGTCATTAGACTAGGCAAATGGATCTCAAATAGCTTTGGACTACAGCTTTTTCAGTCCATGTATTTACCATGCCTGCTTCTTGTTGATGTGTACCTTCAAGACATTTCTGACTTTGAGGGGGGGGGGCTTAGGGGAGCCTATTATGGGTTTTTCTTGGCAATATTTGTTCAGATGAGGTTTGCCATTGCCTTCCCCTGAGACTGAGAGTATGTGACTTGCTCAAAGTCATTCAGTGGGTTTCCATGTCTGAGCAGATAATTGAACTCAGATCTCCAGAGCCATAGTCCAACACTCAAACCACTGTGCCACACTGGCTTGCTCTGCAAACCCCTCCACACACACACACACCTCAAAAAAAACCCTGAGCATCTTAGTCATTGCTTTCTTCTTTTCCTGTGATCAGCTTCTTATTTTTCCTGAGATCACCACTATAGAAGCAACACAAACAGATGCATAAGATAAGAACAGTCAAGCACTTAATACATTCTATAGCATTTTCAAGGTGTGCTACTAGACAATGGGCTAACAGAAAGGGAGGCAAATGTGTTTTATCCCACTAGCTGGAATTCCAAACAACCTTGGAAACTACCAGCACAAAGGAACAATTCTGAGAGAGTTGTGCTTCAGACTCCCCCTTTCCCATTGAAAATAGGAGAATGAATGGAGCTGGTCTATGAGGCCTGATAGTAGCATACAATGCCTGGTGTATGATGGGGTGAGCACCTCACCCCTGCCACTTCAGGATGAAGCCCACATAAACACCCCTAATGTGATTGTAAAGCAGAAAACAGGACCCCATACTTATAGGTGGCACCAAGCTTGAAGCACAAGATGGTCAAGAAAATAGATGAGAGCCCCTTGAAAATGTCTTTATGGCTTCCATTAAGCTAAACTGCTGCAGATAGGGAAAAGAACATAAATGGCAATAGTACAAATGGTAATCGTTTTAAATTTTTGTAAAGGAAGACTTAGAACTTTTTCTGCTTCCAATCTCATGTCTAGACTGCTGACACCTTCAACACATTTTGAAAATTAGGACATGTAGCCTAATTGGAGTGGCAAGAGCTGACAAGGAAATCGAAAGTCAGCATTCTTCTTGGAGGGCTTGATAGTACAGTCTCAGCAATTGAAGTTAGGAGTAGTCTGATTCTTCTTGGCTCAGATGGAAACCCTACTCACCTGTTTTCTCAGAGATTATTCGTTCAAGAATCCACTTGCCTAGGCTGAAAGACTGTACGTGACTGGCAGAGTATGTTTTGCATAGAGAAGATGGCAAATTCAACCCCTGCTATTTCTGGGGGCAAATATCAGATAACTATCCCAGTTTGGCAGAGACACTCCCAATTAATCTTTTGCTATGTCACTTTTCCAGTTACCTTTAAAATGTTCCAGTTTTTTCTCTCCTTTCCCATGTTGTCCCCACTTATTACAGTTGTTGAAAACAGGAAAATTCAGTTTACCCTTGGGTTTCCCCGATCTGCAGCAACCACAAACCTGACTACATGATCACTGAGGCAAGTTCAGGAGAATTTTCCACACCGTTCTCCTTTTCACATTCACCCTGGTCCAGTATGCACACCCACACAGCTGCAGCCATTTAGACGTTTCTCCTTCTCTCCATGCATGAAAATGTATATATTTCTAAACTCTCCCCCTTTCCCCCAAATGACTGTGTTATGGAGCACAGTCCACACAATGGATACCCAAATTTTCCACTCAAAACTAAGATAAATACCACGTTTTCCCCTCTGGGTTAAAGCCCTGAAGTGGTGAGAAGGCTTGGATTCAGCCTCAATCGTAACGTGCATAGCTTGGAAAGCTTGTTGTGAGAACTAGGTGAGACTGTTTTATTTGGTCCATGTAGACATACCCTGAGTTCAAAATGCAAAAGTAGATTGCACTCAGTTAACTCCACAGGAGGGAGAGGACAGGAGAGGAGAGGGGAGAATCATGTCTTTGCAAGCAGGCTTAGGCAAAAGCATACTGCTACAGTGTCTTCTAGCTTGTGTGTTTTTCCTCACTTACAATGTTTGCAATCTTGACCACAGTCTGATGTTGCTTGGCCACATTTGTACTGAAATGTTGGAGGGTATGGGGTTGCTGTCAGTCAACTGATACAAATGAATGTCTAAAATAAAGCCAATAAGTGGATGAGTATTCTGTGCAGCACTGGAAGCACTGTTTTTATCTGCCCAGTATCATTATCTTGAAATGTTCCATCTTTTCCCAGGCGACTCAGTATAATGATCTGCCAGGAGAACAGTAGGCACTGGACTGGTTAATCTGTGGCCAATTCATTCAAATCTTCCCAAGCACATTTGAAAGTCCAGCGTCTATCCCTCCAATAAATTCCACAGAAGATTTGTTTTCTATTCTGTTTTTAGATGCCTCCATCTATGTATGGAATTGACAGGGGGTTGCGGAAATGCTTTCCCTCAAGGTTTGTTTTGTTTCTGTCCTCACTAGGCCTCCATTTTCAGGCAGCCTAATTGTCTTGAGACCTGAGCAACAGGAAGCGTTTTGTATTAAGCTGCAAACAATGGTTGTTCCCTACCCCCACCCGTTTGGCCTTCACCTGCAAGTGGAAGGAAGTGATTGTAATAAGGAAGGAAGCAAAAGGGAGGGAGGATGAGAGTTTGTACAGTTGTAAGATTCTATATCCAGAAGAATGCAAACAGGGAGGCAGGATAGGTGAGGGTGCTCTGGATCCATGGAGAGGGATGGTGATTACATAATAGATCTCTCCCAGTGTAGTAATCTGTACTCCCATTGTCCAAATTGCAGAGATTAAAAGGATCTGAGGTTCATCCTCATTTCAGGGATTTCAACTGCAGTCTTATAGTGGGATTTACTTCTGGACAAGTTGCTCAGCCATTTTTCCAGTCATGTCATGTAGAGCGAAAGGGCCCCAGATGAATGAGGCTAGACTTGACTCCCCAACGCTTTGTGCCACAGCAGTGTTCATGACAAAAATGTCCAAATACAGTATGCAAATGCAAGTAGATAAATAGATACCACTTTGGTGGGAAGGTAAACAGAGTTCTGTGCAATCATGCTGTCCACATGATCACAGAGTAGTCTCTGACAACGCTGGCTCTTTGTCACCGCCCTCCATGGTCGGACACGACTTGACAACTTTGTTAACAGGGATTACTTTTACCTACAATATGTACAAAACGGGGGGAAGTTAGAGCCACTGGAAAACTCATGCATTAAGAAAATGCATGCCTAACCGGTTACTGAAATACATTGGG